AATTGCAGTCGGATTGCAACAATTGTAGTTGCATGTCTACTGGTGGGCCTGCAACTGGCTGACAACCCCCTACCAACACAGTTGCAGCTGCGTTGTACATCATGCAGTTGCAGTCGGCTTTCAACACTTGCAATTGCAACTCTATTGATGGACATGCAACTGACTGACAACCCCTATCAACCCACTTGAAGTCGGGTTGCAACACTTGCAGTTGCGTGTCTCCTAGTAGAGATGCAACTAGCCGACGAAGCCCCATACCAGCACAGTTGCAACCACGTTGGGGGCTATGCAGTTATAGTCAGGTTGCAACACTTGCAGTTGCATGTCTAGTGAAGGACATGCAACTAGCCAACAACCCCAGAAAAGCACAGTTGCATCCGCGTTGGGCGCCATGCAGTTGCGGCCGGGTTGCAACACTTGCAGTTGCATGTCTAGCAAAGGACATGCAACTAGCCGACAAGACCATAAAAGCATAGTTGCATCTGCGTTGGGGGCCATGCAGTTGTAGCCGGGTTGCAACACTTGAAGTTGCATGTCTACCAGTGGACATGCAACTAGCCGACAAGCCCAATTGCAGCCACGTTGGGGGGCATGCAGTTGCAGCCGGGTTGTAACACTTGCCGTTGTATGTCTAGTGGTGGACAACAAACTAACCGACAACCCCCTACAAACCTAGTTGCATTCACGTTGGGGGCCATGTAGTTGCAGTCGGGTTTTAACACTTGCAGTTGCATGTCCACTGATGAACATTAAACTAGCCGACAATCCCCTACAAGCCCAATTGCAACCGCATTGGGGAGCATCCAGATGAAAAAAAGGTAACAATGTACTAGGCCATCAACAAAACACACATGTCAACCACACACAAAACTTGATGCCCAAAATCCATAGCTACCAAAACGAATGAGACCTAACTAATTCTCTATTGATAGAGAAAATGACAAATAAACAATAGGCCAAGGAAAAAAATAAGAAAACTATCTAAACGAAGAAAACAAAAAATGAAATTTGAAGAAAATAAAAAAGAAAATCAATAAATGAAATGAAAATAAAAAGAAAATAAAATAAAAATAAGGGAAAACAAACACCCGATGACTTAAAATCCCCCATAAAAACCGGATAGAGGGGACAAAAAGGCTCTACTACAAAAATAACCGGGATGCAACATAAGAAGCCTACACCCCTACCCCACCCGTGTTAAAAATGAGAGAAGACAACTTGTGATGTGCACCGCTCGCGCGACGCAACTAAGTGTCACATGAACAAATCCATGAATCGCAACGTGTTTTTCTCAGACGACGAAGGACGTGAACGGGACATAATTATTTTCAGAAAACTAGAATAGTATGCAACAGAAAAACTAAAAACTAAAATAAAGAAACAAGGAAAAAATATTATGAGAAGAGATGAAGAAAAAACTATAAAAGAAAAAGGGACAAACATATGAATTGGGGAAAATGCAACACAAAATGCAAAATAACTAGGCAAAAAAACTAACAAAAAATGGAGACAAATAGAAATAGTAAAATAAATAATTGGATTGCTTGGTTTCGAAACATATGGAGATGCAGCCATGTGACCAGATGGCAGATGCCAAGCCCACCACGCATACCTGCACCGAGAAAACCTATGTGACGCTAATTGCGTCGAAATGTCGGCGTTTCGCACAGGCGTGCCGAAACTGGGCCGGCCCATTTGACAGATGAAAAAATGCGAGAAAAGTTATACGCAGGTATTGGATTCGAACCGGCGACCTCGTGGACTAGCGCACGCTATGCTAGCCACTGCGGTAAACTAGTTTTAGTGCTAAACTTGCAGCGGGAGAGTACAAGAACCGAACATGACATCGATTAGACTTAATGTTTGTTAGAAAATCCAAAAATTGCAAACGCAAACATTTTTCAAAATTACGAACAAATTTGTAACAGAAAATTTCGAAAAACAAGAACGGAGAATTGAAATTTTGAACAAATTTCGAAAAAACACGAAATCTGAACCACCAAACTTTTTGAAAAAACGAACAAATTTATAAATTCAGAACATTTTTTAGAAAAAATGAACAAAATCTATAATTGTAAAGTTTTTTCAGAACAGAAACAAAATTTAAAAGTGAGAACATTTTTTTGAAAATGCGAACAAAAATTTGAAACTCCAAAAAAAAATTCTACATGATTTTCTTTGGAAATTTCGAACATTTTTAAACAATGCAAACAATTTTTGAAAATGTGAAAAAAAATATAAAGTTCGAACATTTTTCAGAACATGAACAAAACTCCAAGAACATTTTCAAAAATGTTCTTGGACAAACATTTTAAAACGGTGAACAATTTGAAAAAATCCTGAAAAAATTTGGAAGCACAAACAATTTTTTAAAGCACGAACATTTTTTGAATCTTGAGAACATATTTTGAAACGGAGAGAAATTTTGAAAAATTCCAAACAAATTTGGAAGTCCGAACAATTTTCTAAAGGACGAACATTTTTTTGAATCTTGAGAACATATTTTGAAACGGAGAGAAATTTTGAAAAATCCCGAACAAATTTGGAAGCGCGAACATTTTTTGAATATGTAAACAAAAAAATTGAAATTCAGTACATTTTCTGAATTTCAGAAGTTTTGTACTTTGTTGTGTAACGAGAACAAATTTTGAATTTTGAGAACATTTTTTGGTAACACGAACAAAATTTAAATTTTTGATTTTTTTAAATGAAGAAAAGAAAAGAAAAGGAAATAAAAAAGAAAATCATCAACATTTTGTAAAACTATGAACATATTCTGAAAAAGAAAAATAAACTTGAAAAAGAAAGTGAAACAAGAAACAAAGAACGAAAAAATGAAAAAGAAACAGAAACGAAAAAAAGAGAAATAAAAAAACGATAGAAAGCCAAAAAAGAACCAGGAAAAAACGATACAGGAAAAAAACCCGGTTTAGGGAACCTTCTGGAAGGTTCCCAAAACCGGTTTGGACGCATTATGTGTGGGCCGGCCCATTTCTGTCGCTCGCTGCGCTGCCCCTGTGCGATTGCTGGACAGTTTGCCGCAGCGAGCGGCGAATAGGATTTTCCACCTGCACCATCCACAAAAAAAGAAAGAAAGAAGAAACACTAAAAGAGGCGGGCTGTATCCCTACAGGGCCTATTTGACAAGAAACAAACATCATGCAACGTTTTTGAAGCACCTGGTGATCCAACGACAGGGGAGGGTCGACTGAGACTTTGTAAAAAACCAGTCGACTGATTTTTAGCACAACCGTTATATTATGAGAAGAGTATCATCTACTCCGCTCAAGTTTGACACTTCGGTTGCGACCTCCACCTACACGTGACAGTCTGACAGATGGACATGGCGGGCTATAAAATCCATGCGCGCCGCATGCGGACACCTACTTAATTAGCACATCGACGACGTCGCTGCATGGCGCCGCGCTCCCGCCAACTTCCCCCCGCGCTTCTGCTTCTCCTGGTGCAGCTCTCCGTCGCCGCAGTGGCTGCGTCGTTGCCCGGCTACAGCTACTACAGCTTCCCAGTGTTCGACGGCATGTCGACCACCGACGGCGTCGTGGTGGCCACCAACTCGTCCAAGCTGTCGCCGGCCACGTTCCTCTTCGACGCGCAGCTCTTCCCGGAGTTCAACCAGTCCGAGGGCTTCGTGCTCCTCTCGCGCCCCGTCGCGCTCTGGCGCGTCGCCGCCGAGGCTGACGGCGCCCGCGAGGAGGCGTCCTTCAGCACCACCTTCACGGTGGACGTGGACGGCCGCGGCTCCGACGCCGTGTCGTTCGTGGTGCTCCTCGACAGCTTCCCGCCGCCCAACGTCAGGAACGAGAAGCACGGCCCCCGCCGCGACACGAACATCTCGGCCCTGGCCGTCGCCGCCGCGCGCCGCAGTGCCGAACGCCACCAACGGCATCGCTACCGTTGAGGTCGGCTCGGTGAGCTCGTACGGGCCGCTGGACCTCGCCGACCGCCTGCCCGCCCAGGCCGCGCTGGTGGGGTTCTACGCCTCGACGGTCCGGGACCTCGTCGTGGGCGTCCATGACTGGGAGCTGACCGTGGACAGTTTACCAGACGACGACGTCGGCAACGGGCCACGGGGTCAACAGGTCGAGCACAGCACGTCGTCGTCATCATCGTGGCTGGTTATAGTGCTCGCGGTGCTCGGATCAGTGGCGGCAGTCGCCGCCGTCGTCGTCTCGGTGATGGTGTACCTCGTGGTGGCCAGGCGCCGGGTGGTGGACATGCAGGTGCAGCAGTGCTACAAAGACTATTTCGCGAGGATGAAAAAATTCTATGAGACCAGGTCTCACGGTTTAGCAGGAGAGACCCATTTTGATGGATGACACGTGGCATTTGCAAATCACAAAGCATCTACCCAACCCCCCACCTGAAATCAGGGGGAAGAGATTAGATGCTTTGTGATTTGTGAATGCCACATGTCATCCATCAGGGCGGCTCTCACCTGGTTTATATGAGACCTGGTGCGCTTGCCATAAGACGAGGTGCAGAAACCGACATGGACGGGAGGCTAGGCTAAGCGGACGCTGTCGAGCGAAGACCGGCACACGACAGAGTCCTGTCAGGTTACAGAGGTCACTAGAATGTACTATGCGTTTTCAATTTACTTGTTCTCGAACTTGCGGCTGAGTAGGATCGTCATCTGGTGTAGTGCAGATCATGCATTCATTCATTTAGGTCTTTTCAACAACTTTTAGTTGGGAAGGGCCGCTGTTGTCACGTCCATATCTTGTACTATCTTGTCCTTCCCTTCAACGTTACGCTGGTAGCTGCTTTTCTTGATGGCAAACCAACAACAAGCCTGCTATGTCGTGCTCTGCTCGTGGTCCAGGATCGAAGTGGTGCCGATCGAGTCACCTATAGCTTGCCGGAAAAGAGAGACGCCAAGTTGGGCGTGGCCAGGTCCACAGACCACAGCTAGCGCGGCTACTGCTCCGGAGCGCCTCCCCGCCCCCGTGCACTGCGCCCACTTCCGTCCCCGAGCCGCCATGGCCGTCGCGGGCGACGCCGCCCAGTTCCAGAAGGTGCGGATCCGGCGAGAGGGCACGGTGAGCGACTCCTCTCTCCCTCCCTCCCTCCCTCGTTCCCTCCCTCCAGCCTCGAACGACCATCCGTCGCCCGCTCCGATGCCTCGTCCAGCTACAAGAGTTCGCTCTGTCGAAATATGTTAGACTATGTATAACTTCTGTACCTATGTATGTATTGTAACACAACCATTATATATAATGAGATAAGCCACCCCTAGAGGGTTGTGCTGGTTCCCAAAACTTATTGTCTTACATGGTATCACACTAGGTTACGATCGCTTCCGCTTCTAAACCCTAATACCCGCACCGCCGCCGCAGCCGCCGCCGCCTTCACCGCCGCCGCCGCGCCACCGATCGCGCCGCCGCCATGTCGAGCGCCGCCACCACCGGTTCCACTGCTGCGGGCTTCCTCCCGGCCTCTCTTGCGGCTCTGCTCAACCTCCCGCTCGATGCCGTCTCCGTTCCGGCTCCGATCGGGACAAGGAGCATCGGCTCCGTCTTCTCCACGCCGCCGGCGCCCTCGCTCGGGCGTGACCTCGTGGTCCACACCGCGGCGCTGCCGTCCGCTGCGGATTCCGCAGGCGTCTTCCCGCCGCTCCTGTCGCGAGCGGATCACACCGTCCCGCTGGAGGGGTTGGCGGCGTCCGCCCCGGCCGCGGGCCTTGCGGCGTCCGCACCGGCCGCGAGCTTTGCGGCGCCCGCCCTGGCTGCGGTCCCGCATCGGCTTCGGTGCCTCCGGCTGCCTCCATGGTGTTTGCACCCCAGGCAGCCTCCTCGATGGGATCGTCTTCGCCGCCGCCGTTTCACTTCGGTCATCTCATCACCATCAAGCTCTCCGCAGACAACTACATCTTCTGGCGTGCGCAGGTTCTCCCGCTCTTGGGGAGTCACTACCTGCTAGGCTACGTCGATGGATCGCTTCCCTGCCCACCCGCGCTGGTAGACAGCATGCACGGTCCGGTCTACAATCCGGCCCATCGCGTCTGGACAGGGCAGGACCAGGCGAACCTCTCCTCCATCCAGGGGTCGCTCTCGCCGGCAGTTGCCGGCCTTGTTGTCTTCGCGAAGACGTCTCATGAGGCCTGGACCATCCTTGAGCGCACCTTTGCAGCGCAGTCCCAGGCTCGTGTCTCTGCACTCCGTCGTCAGCTTGGAGAGTTTCAGAAGCTTGACTCCACGGCCACTGAGTTCTACAACAAGGTCAAGGGCCTTGCCGACATATTGGCCTCCATTGGACAGCCCCTCACCAACTCCGAGTTCAACTCGTTTATTGTCAATGGTCTTGATGAGGAGTATGATGCCTTAGTCGAGATCATCAACGAGCGGGGTAACTCGACACCCATGTTGGCACACGAGGTTTTCTCTCGGCTTCTTCTCACTGAGCAACGGGTCGAGACTCGCCGCACCAGGGGCACTGGCTCTCTCTCGGCCAACGTCGCCACCAAGGGTAGCCGCTCTTCTTCATCACCCCGGTCTCCCTTGGGGCTGCCACCGTCGCCCGCCTCGGCCCCCCCACCTACTGCGACCTTACCGGGGGCTGGCGGTCCACGTGTGTGTCAGCTTTGTGGCCACGATGGGCACTGGGCCTCCAAGTGTCATAAGCGCTTCCAGCGAAGCTTCCTTGGTCTTGGCAATGACGGCAAAGATACACGCAACAATGCCCGTCAGGTCGCCATGGCTGATCGTCCCGCGCCGCAGAAGCACCAGGGACACACTCAGTCCTACTCCATCGATCCACACTGGTACATGGACTCTGGGGCGACAGAGCATCTGACCAGCGAGCTAGGGAAGCTTCACACTCATGAACCCTATCATGGCTCCGACAAGATCCACACCGCCAATGGAGCAGGTATGCACATCTCTCATATTGGTCAAGCATCTCTTCTCACTAGACATGCCAATAGGAGTCTTCAGCTTCGCAATGTTCTTCGCGTTCCATCTGTGACCCGCAATCTTCTTTCAGTTCCTAAACTCACACGTGATAATAATGTGCTTTGTGAATTTCACCCTTTTGATCTTTTTATTAAGGATCGGGGCACGAGGGACATTCTTCTTAGTGGGCGGTTGTGCCAGGGCCTCTACCGTCTGGAGCATCCTGGTGTCGCTCGCGTTTTCAGTGGAGTTCGGGTCTCTCCGTCACAGTGGCATGCTCGTCTTGGTCACCCGGCCACACCTATTGTCCGTCATATTTTGCGTCGTCAAGAGCTTCCTAGTTTGTCTAGTAATAAAGATGTAGCAGTGTGTGATGCTTGTCAGCAGGGGAAGAGTCATCAACTTCCTTTTTCGGAGTCCAGTCGTGAGGTGAAACATCCGTTAGAACTTGTGTTTTCAGATGTATGGGGTCCTGCTCAGACTTCTGTCAGTGGTCATAATTACTATATCAGTTTCGTTGATGCTTATAGTCGCTTTACCTGGCTTTACCTTATTAAACGCAAATCTGATGTGTTTGATATTTTTGTTCAGTTTCAAAAACATGTTGAACGTCTTCTCAAGCACAAAATTGTTCATGTCCAGTCGGACTGGGAGGGCGAGTATCGCAACCTCAACTCCTTCTTTCAGTCGCTTGGGATAGCTCATCGTTTAGCATGTCCACATACACATCAGCAGAATGGTTCAGTCGAACGTAAGCATCGTCATATTGTTGAAGCTGGTCTTACTCTTTTGGCCCATGCATCTGTTCCTTTTCGGTTTTGGAGTGATGCTTTCACCACTGCATGCTTTCTCATCAATCGTACTCCTACTCGTGTTTTAAACATGAAGACTCCCATTGAGGTTCTCCTTAATGAACAACCTGATTATACCTTTCTCAAGGTATTTGGGTGTGCTTGCTGGCCGCATCTTCGTCCATATAACAAGCGCAAGCTTGAGTTTCGTTCTAAGAAGTGTGTTTTCCTTGGCTATAGCTCTCTTCATAAAGGTTACAAATGTCTTCATGTTCCCACTAATCGTGTCTATATATCTCGGGACGTCGTGTTTGATGAGCATGTTTTTCCCTTTGCCAACCTTCCTGTGTCCACTGTCGAACCACCATCCCTGCATTCATCCTCTGTTGCTTCTGACCAATTTGATGATGTTGCATACTCTCCTTTGCTGTTACCTAACCATGGTGCAGGAACCGGACGTGGAGCTCGTTTGGAGCTGTTGGAGGATTCACCATCATCATCGTCGTCTTCTGATGGGCATGTCGATCGCCCTCTGTTGCATGGCATCAATTCGCGTGCCCATGCATGGTCACCCGACGAGCCCGTCGCGCCGAGCATCTCCACTGTTCGGTCTGCTACGCCAGTGATCGCCGAGTCTCCAGCGGCTCGGCCTTTTTCGCTAGCGGCCGTCGAGTCGCCCGTGGCTCGGCCCGTCACGCCGTCTTCGCCCGCGGCTCGGGTCCTCACGTTGCCTTCATCAGCGGATCGGCCCGCGACACCGGCCGCGCCATGGCCCACTATGCCGAGCTCACCATCGGCTCGGTCTGGGATGCCGGAGTCGCCAGCTGCTTCGTCTGCTCTGCCGGTTTCGCCGGTGGGCCGGCCTTCTTCGCCGACTGAGTCCGAGGCTACCGTGCCTGGCTCCTCGTCACCGGCTGACTCGTCAACGTCGCCGTCCTCCAGCCCGTTGCAGGCTGCTCCGTCGACCTCGGTGGTTCCTGTGTCTCGACCACATACACGCAGTCGCAGTGGCATTTTCAAACCTAAGGAACGTACGGATGGTACGGTTGCTTGGTTGGCTGCTTGTTTGGCTGCTGCTGTTGCGGATCCATCTTCTGAGCCTCGCTCATATCAGGCTGCCCTGCGCATTCCACATTGGCGAGAGGCTATGGAGCAGGAGTTTCATGCTCTCCTTCGTAACAAGACATGGACTCTCGTTCCTCCACCACCACGGGTAAATGTTATTGACTCAAAATGGGTATTTAAAGTGAAGAAGCATTCGGATGGATCTATTGAGCGTTACAAAGCGCGACTTGTTGCTCGCGGTTTTCGGCAGCGTCATGGCCTTGACTATGAGGACACCTTCAGTCCTGTCGTCAAGCCTACCACTATTCGGCTTCTTCTCTCCATTGCTGTTTCTCGTGGTTGGTCCCTTCGTCAACTTGATGTGCAGAATGCTTTTCTACATGGATTTTTGGAGGAAGAGGTTTATATGAAACAGCCGCCTGGTTTCTCTGATCCTGATCGTCCTGACTATATCTGTCGTCTTTCCAAAGCACTATATGGTTTGAAGCAAGCTCCTCGTGCCTGGCATGCCCGCCTTGCCTCTGCCCTTCGTGCTCATGGGTTTGTGCCGTCCACTGCTGACACTTCATTATTTCTTCTACAGAAGCCAGAAGTCACTATGTATCTTTTGGTATATGTCGATGATATTATCCTTGTCAGCTCTTCTCAGTATGCTGCTGATGCTCTTGTCTGCTCTCTTGGTGCTGATTTTGCGGTCAAAGATCTTGGGAAGCTTCACTACTTTCTTGGAGTTGAGGTCACTTCTCGTGCTACTGGTCTTGTCCTTACGCAGAAGAAGTACTCCTTGGAGTTGTTACAAAAAGCCGGCATGCTGAAGTGCAAACCGACCACCACACCCATGTCGTCTACCGACAAGATAACAGCTGTTGATGGTGAGCTTTTGTCTCCTGCGGATGCCACAGAGTACAGAAGCATTGTTGGTGGACTTCAGTACTTGACGATCACGAGACCAGATATCTCTTATGCTGTTAACAGGGTTTGTCAGTATCTTCTGGCTCCCAGAGATACTCATTGGGCTGCTGTTAAACGCATTCTTCGTTATGTTCAGTTCACCCTGACTTTTGGTATGCATATTCGGCCGACTTCCTCTCGGGTCCTTTCGGCCTTCTCTGATGCAGATTGGGCTGGTAGCCCAGATGACAGGCGATCCACGGGGGGTTATGCAGTATTCTTTGGCTCTAATTTAATCGCCTGGAGTGCTCGGAAACAAGCTACTATGTCACGTAGCAGTACTGAAGCTGAGTACAAGGCTGTGGCTAATGCTACTGCAAAGATTATTTGGGTGCAGTCTTTGCTTCAGGAGTTGGGTTTGTCTCAACCACAGCCTCCTATTCTTTGGTGTGATAACATCGGTGCTACATACCTTTCTGCAAATCCAGTATTTCATGCCCGAACGAAACACATTGAAGTTGACTATCACTTTGTACGGGAACGTGTATCACAGAAGCAACTTCAGATCAAGTTTATCTCGTCTAAGGATCAACTTGCAGATATCTTCACTAAGCCTTTACCACTGCCACAGTTTGAGGCTTGTAGGCGCAATCTTACCCTTCTCAGTTCTTTAGAAAGTGGCTAAGATTGAGGGAGGGTGTTAGACTATGTATAACTTCTGTACCTATGTACGTATTGTAACACAACCATTATATATAATGAGATAAGCCACCCCTAGAGGGTTGTGCTGGTTCCCAAAACTTATTGTCTTACAAAATATAATGTCCGCCTCTATTCATCATTTCAGATTTTTGGATGAGTTGACCGGAGAGAGTGTTGGAATATATTGTCCGTCTTTCTTCGTCAATTCGGATTTTTAGATGAGTTGACTGAAGCATGAAGAATTTAATATACTCCATCCAGTGACCTGCTGTGCTGTAATACGGGATGCTTTATTTATTTGTTGTTTGCAAAGAAATAAAATTGATGTCATTACTCAGATTTATACGCTTGTGCTGGTATGACTTCACTGTGCCACTCGTAGTGACACATCCACACAGTCCTGGTGCTTTTGCTCTGTGCCTTATTGCAACTTACTGCTGAACAGATCTGATGTTGTACATCTGCAGACCTTCGATGCCTATGTTGTCGGCAAACAGGATGCCCCTGGAGTTGTAGTGTTGCAAGAGTGGTGGGGCGTCAACAACCAGGTCAAGAACCATGCCACCCACATCTCCAAAATCGGCCATGGATACAGAGCGCTTGTTCCAGAGTACGGCGATCTATCATATCCTGTCTTGTGCTTCTTTCTTTGCACCGTACCATTTGTTCAAGACAGACTACTCCCAAACGCGGAAGTGCTACCCGATCCGCTCGATCGGAATATCATCGCCCGGTCAAATCTTAAATGCCTTGTGCGTTTACACTTTTCTTTTTCAGTTTGTACCATGGGAAGGTCGCTCTGGATGCTGCCGAGGCTCGCCATCTGATGGAAGGGCTAGACTGGCAGGGCGCAATCAAGGACATTCAAGCCTCAGTGAAATGGCTCAAGGAAAATGGATCACCCAAGGTAGCTTTTACCTTTGTTAACGTTTCAAGATTTTGTATATCTGTTTTCCTTATTTGAATTGTATTATATATTCTGGGTGGGTGACATCTTCTGGTACATTTGTTGTGCTACCTCCCTTTGTATGCATCAACGAAAATCTGTTATTTAAGTAGTCATTTTTTTCTGTTTGCTGCGCAAACCTTGTTGCGTGATTTTGACGGTTAACCAAATTTGTAAGCTATGCTCGTTAGTGATATCTAAGATCTTGTTATGAAAGAATCGATTTAGGTTCATGGAGGTAATGCAATCCTAAGTTCCTAACACATAATGTCATGTTTATGTTCCGTTGAAATACAACGCGTAAGACAGTAAGTAATGGTTGACATTTTTTTTCCTATTGTTTTTAGGTTGGTGTTACTGGTTATTGCATGGGAGGTGCCCTGGCAATCGCGAGTGGAGTTTTGGTACCGGAGGTTGATGCTGTTGTTGCTTTCTACGGGACGCCATCGTCGGAGCTTGCGGATCCTTCTAGGGCTCTGGCTCCAATCCAGGCTCATTTTGGGGAGCTCGACACTTATGTCGAGTTTGCTGACGTAACCGTAAGACCTTCTTTTACCTCAGTCTCGGTCTTGTTGAATAAGACAATATTGAGGTTTATTTGCTTTCCATAGGGAGTTAGAAACTGGAAAATAGTTTGCTAATTCAAACGTTATGTGCATATACTTATTAGTGTTGGATAACAAAATTATTAGTCTTCTTAATAGAAATACAAATAGAAAACATTGTTATGGTGATGTTTCAGGCGGCCAAGTCGTTGGAGGAGAAGCTCGAGTCTTGTGGGGTACCACATGAAGTGCACATATACCCTGGATGCTCTCATGCCTTCAAGAACAACACATCACCTGAGGCTCTCGAGAATCAGGGAGCCATTGACCTGGCATGGTCCCGCTTTGCTACATGGATGAGTCGTTTCCTATGATCTGTATCAGAGCCATCACCACACTGCCTGAACCTGAGGTGTATATGGACTCAGAGTCACGATGAGTAATGAGAATAAGATGTTCAGTACATGCGTACAACATGCAGTCGTTGTCCAATCCAGACAAGTTTGCTTGTGTTATGCTACGTGAACTCGTCATAGTTATGTTTTGTGAATGATGAGCTAATTTGGTGTGCATTTCTCCATTTTCTTTTTGTCATTGCAGGCTGCGTTGGTTGGTTGGTTGGTTGGAGTTGTACAGTGACGCCGCACATCGAATTGTCGAGAGTTTCTTGGTTTTCACTCTTTCTTGGAAAGGCATTTTTATCGTGAATGCTAGCTCTTTTCCAAAAATATATTAATCTTTTGTCATGCTTCCAGAGTCACGCGGCTTTTCACTCTTCTTTGCAAAGCATTTTAGATCGTGAATACTTGAAAATATATAGCAAAAGTTACGTAACACAAACAATTCCAGAAACGGTATTGATGATGTTGATTTCCCCCTCTGAATCTGGTCAAAGTTTAAACCATACAACTTCTGTGTGCACTATGTTTTTAAACTTGGAACAAATCTATGCACACTATTGTTAGAGGGAACTCCATTTTTCTTTACCCCCAAGGTTCCCGTTAGTGACAGGTGTTACCCGACTTACGAAAATTCTAAATTTATGCTGTTCAGTTTTTTTCTCTCCAATTTTTACTGCGGATTTGTGCATGCCATGTAGGCGGTTTATTTATCTCTCTTCAGTTTTCTATACCTACTGGATCCCAGGTGCAGAGAACAGTCGGGCTCAGCCCAGAGCGTCCAAAATTCTTTTTGTTTTCACCGGATCGGCCCCGGCGAACCGAATCCCGAGGCTCCCCCTCGTGGGCCGGCGGTCGACGACGAGATCTTTCCCGGTTCCCGGAGGAGCAAAAGCGGCGGCCGGTTGGTTTCCTCCGCTGTGCTACTACCTGCACAGCTGCACTTCGGAGCACGCGCTCGCTCTCTCCGCGTTGTCGCGCACGTCGGCAGGTCGGCAACCAGCGAAAGGCCTACCTGACCTGGCTACATCCGACAGCTGAACGTGCACGGCGAGGCGCCATGAATCATAGCGGCCCCTGCTGATATATGTGTCATCCGGCTTGCTTAGCTCGTGTGCACGCGGCATCCGGAGATTGATTCATGCGTCCGCAGAACAGAACAGAACAGAAGAGCGACTTATGACGACGTGATTGATTGGTGTATGTATCAACAGAGAAGAAGACAAGGAAAATGTATGTGTAGCTGGTGATGCGGAGGGTAGGGCTGCAAACGAGTCGAGCTCGAGCGAGTTGGAGTTGGCTCAGCTCAACTTATATGAAAATTCGAGCGAGCTCAAACTGAGTGAAGCTCATGATAGAGCTGTAGAACATGACTCGTGCTTAGCTTGTAACGATCTCGAGTCGATCTCGAGCTAGTTTCGAGCTAATTGAGATGGTAAAAATTATAAAACTATGGATGAGAAACAAAAAATTAAGGTGAATATACTAGGAACCTTTGCCAAAAAATAGGATATTTAACACATAGTCGACCACGTGCCATAATTAGGCCTAAATCTTCTCTGCACTTAATTAATTTCCATGTTCGTTGTTAAATAAAACGAAGAAAAATTATGGACATCATATATGGTAATAAATTATCTTATTTCCATTTAATATATGGCATGATCATTTAACATAATGATATTTTGTCGAGCTATCGAGCTAAAATTTAACGAGCCAACATTGGCTTAAGATCGGCTCATTTCTCGGTCGATCTACATAAAATGTTCAAACTCGGCTCGTTTCTTTTCGAGTCGATCTCGAGTCGACTCAAAAAACGAGTTGATCTCGAGCGGCTCATGAGCCTCGAGCTTTACTTGCAGCACTAGCGGAGGGCAAGTTCGAATCGGAAAGCTACATGCCGTCCGGCCGGCCACAAATGTGAAATGTCTGTCTCCGCGCGCTGATTGCTGCCTGCTGCAGTCTTATCATCGAGATGAAATGTTCTTTCAGCGACAGGTGACGTTCCTCTCAACAGCGAGGTGCATATGCAGTTTTCCGTCGATCTGACGTATGCATTATGTTATGCCACTTAGAAAAAATCTTTAGAAAAAAGATGGCGCATATGCAACAAGCAACATGTCAGATATGGCGGCTGAATCGATAAGTTGCATTTTAGAAACAAAATTATTGACGATGGCCATATGGTGTGGTGTGTCCGTCAGTCCATGTGTGGACAGAGTAACACACGTCGGCGTCGCCGTTTCACAGCCTCCATTCTCTCTTTCTTTTTTTCTTCTTCAGGCAGGCGTGTGAAAGCGGCGACGAATGTGCGGTTTGGTTGGATCGTGTGACTAAGAAAGAATTTGTCTGCCGAACAAAACAAATTCCTTCCCAGGCAATTCCCAAGCCATATCAGCGTACAACAAAAACATCAACATCCATTTCTCTCGTCAGGAGCACTATAAAATAGGGGGGGTAAGTGCGCTTTGGCCCATTTTAATCAACACCTTTATTTTCCTAAGCTGGGTGTATCATCAGATCAGATCAATCAAAATAATAAAAATGTCGTAGACTGAATCAAACTATACCATGGTTTCCGAAGAAAAAGAAAGAAGGTGCAACCACGAAGAACTCAGAAGAAGGTTCTCTTTCTTGTGCACAAGAAGCAGTGCAAACTACAAGAAGAAGGCAGGGGAACAAGCACGGATCTAAAATCTTTCTGCATTTATATCGTCGACCGGCAGTGGCCGCTTGCTTGCTTATCGTGCTAGTACATGCACACTTGTGTGGCATGGCGACGGCCAAACTTCAGAGCAGCGGCAGTAAATCTCAGCTAATTATGTTTCTATTTATTACAAAAGATTGAGAGAAAGAGGGCAGGGAAGGGGACCTTTTTTACTTGGGCATCATCGATCTTCCACAGTACACCGCCGGTCGACGGTCAAACCTCGACCGTCGGCCGGAGCTGGTTGATCTGGGTGGGTGGCTGGCTAGCAGCGGTAGACGAGGTAGTTGTTGCGGCGGGGCTTGGGCATGTGGCAGAGCATGACGAGCACCAGGGCGATCATCATGGCCAGCAGGAACCCCTTGGGGTCCAGCCCCATGCCACCATCGCCGCCGCCGTCGTCGTCGCCACCGTTGCCGCAGCCGATGCAGCAGCAAGATCCCGACCCCATGGCGACGGCCCCCTTTCCCTTCACCTCAGAGACTGGCACCGGGAGATAGAGATGCTGATCTCTCTGAATCTTGTGATGTTCTGTTGCTTCGACTGTGGAGAAAGGGGGTGGAAGCAGAGCACTTGTTTACTAGCAGCAGCACTGACATCCAGGCGCACGGGTCCAACACGGCTATCTAGCTGGGCGGGCGGCTAGGCCGGTCCGAGGACGGCAGTCGGCAGGCGTATGGACACCGGGGCCCACATGTCAGAAGACGGTTAACAGCAAGAAAACATTGCTCAGCAAATCTATATCTATATCTATTATATATTATATATATATATCTTATATCTTATATCTTTACCTACTAATAAAGCAAATAGCGCTTCTGCCCGTACGTCATAGAAATTGCCCTCGAATTTGGCATACATTACCCGCCATGCCATCCATAAGTAACATGATTCGGATTTATTTCAAAATCACCGCGGGTTTATTTCTTACAGGGCGATACACTTATATTACACAATCCTCCGGTAGCGCAATGGCCATGGCGTCGGCCTACCACGCAGGAGACCAGCGTTCGATCCCTGGTTCCTACACCTTTTTGCCACGCAGGTCTTCCACCCCCGCGCGCTAATAGGCCGGCCCATAATTGGCTGGGGGTGGGCCTGTTTACTATTCTTTTTTTTTTTGCTTTTTATTTCCTTATTTCTGTTTTTATTTTTTCTTATTTAAATTAATTCAGGATTTTTTAAAGAATAAAATTCCGAAAAGCTGCGGGATTTATTGAGAAGTAATAAAATATTCATGACTTCAAAATATTTTTTGCATATCATAGAAAAAAATCGGAATATCATGATTTTTAAAATAATAATCCAGTAGTCTGGAATTAGAAAAAAATGTACATGGCGTGCCTCCTCCTCCTCGACGCGCTAATGGGCCGGCCCATGTGCGGCTGGTTGCGCCTGTTTTCTGTTTCGTTTTTTGCTTTTTACCTTTTTAATTCTGTTTTTGTTTTTCATTCTTTACAATCATTCAGGATTTTCAAAAGAACCAAATTTCAAAAATCTGCGAGATTTATTGAGAAATCATAAATTGTTCATGATTTCAAAGAAAAATCGCATATCATAAAAAAAATCACAATATCAACTAGATGTTCATGAAAAAAACATGATTTTTTTAAAAATCCAGTATTCAAAGTACATTCTGGAATTAGAAAAAAAATATACATGATTTTTTTGAAATGTTTCCAAAATTAAAACAGGCCCGTAAATGATGAACAAAACGAAACATCGCCTGCGTCGAAGTTTTAATAGGGGATCTGTAGAGGTCAATTTATGATTTTATTTAGTCCCTCGCATCGGGTAAAAAAAAGGTTTCCATGTTTCGTACGACGCTGAAGCCAAAAAATATTGACACAATTTTCTATGGGTTAGTTTTTGTAAACTATATAAAATGACTAAATGTCTATTTTGCCTCCATACACAGCTATGTTTATTCTGGTACCATGGTAATTGTTATGACAACCACCGCTACGCTAGGTCAAGATTATATACATCATTCATCAGTCTAGCTTAGGTAGGGTTCATCAATGCAGTTTACTCAGCCAAAACTAATTCGTTGTGGCGCCTTAGGAAATCAAATCATGGTCAAACCATCACTTTTTTTT